AAATTCGTTCCTATCTTCCAAATTTAGTGAATTTTGAACAGAAAATTAACCACAACTAATGCAATATTGTAGGAAAGTAGGAATGCTTTATAATAACTTCAGCCAAACAGTAACAGTAAAAATCTGCGGTTAAATGAATACATATATATAGCATTACCTTTAATATTTCCAGCACTCATTTATTTGAGCAAGAGGAATCCAAGATTTTGCAAAACACAGTAAAGCAAAACTTGATCCCATCACGTTTATTGTCTTTACTTTAAAAGCATGCACTGGTCACTATGGTCATTTGTAACTTCCAACTTCGTCAGTGGAATGGATTTACCGGGAATAAACAACGATAGTTTTTTCACGAAACAAAAAAGTTTAAGGAAGATAAGAAAGAGATGACTACTCCCCTCGGATTCGAATGTAATACGCAAGAGTGAGTTAACCTTCTGGATAACTTATAGCTGCGCGGAGAGAGTTGGAAATTCTTTAAAATGATGATATGCAAGAATAAGATGTGACGGCCCCTCACTTCCAATTCTTGCAACAGCAGCAATAGTAATAGTAGTGAGGAGTAGAGCAATGGATGATAACTCGAGAGAGAGAGAGAGAGAGAGAGAGAGAGAGAGAGAGAGGGAAGAGAGGATCATGCTGGGAAGAGAGAGAGGAGCCCCTTTTTCTGGCAACCGCATAGCGAAAGTTTAAAATTAATGACGAATGCCGGCGATTGCAATACCCACTGATATATGGACTTCACTTACGTCATTTTTATTTATTCCATTTATCACTTTTAGTTTGATCACTACGTGGCTCAACGGGTCAGCCAGTCATTAGTTCAGTACTTGCAAACGTGAAATACAAAGTTCAAAATGAAGCCATAATTATTACTTCATGCTAAGTTTTGTTGCATGCGCTCTCACGGTTTCCAACATAGGAATAAGTCAGTCTTGATCAATACAAAGAAAACATTTGGACATGTCAACAATACCGATCTCAACGAATTCTAGAGATATTCGATTTGGAAGAATAAATAAGCCAATCAACCGTAAGCTTAAAGTTGATACTTTACTAAAACAAAAAGCAGATGAGATGATGAATGAACTATGTGACATAACTCAGTTTTCTTATTTCTCTCTTCTCATTTTATTACACAGATATACTTCATACATTATTATTATAAAGCATGAACTTTTCTTTATGGTCTTTACATCCTTCCCACAATTTGAATACAAAACGTCAACCAGCTGAATCCTTAAGCAAACCCAATATTCGTTGTAAATAAACTAAACTGTTCCGGAAAAAAAAACTGTAAAATTAAAGTAATTACTGAATACAGACTTCACACCACACAAATCTCCTTAGAAAGATATTGTCCAATATAGTAATAATCATTACAGCTTTCACATAATTTGGAACAGTGTGCTGAAAAATATATTAGCGGAGATATCATTTGTTTTATCTTGTACCACTATTGATTAACAACACAACTTCACAAACTTTGTGCAAATAAAATTTTACAAAATGTTGAATAGTTCTAGAAATGAATGAGATGTTTTCGTATCACATATAATGAATCAATAAAATGAAATTATCAACCAGAAAACTAATCAACTATTTTATTCAATCAAAAACAAATCAACTATTACATTTGAGCTTAGTGTCCTAATAATTGTAATAGACAATCAGATCTGTTCCATATACAAACTAAGGGTTTTTTTTTTCATTAGTCGACCCAACTCCAAGTCAGTTACCATGTCATACTCCAAGACACCATGCGCACCTCTTCTGATGCAATTTTACAGCCTGCCATAAAATTCTAATCCAGGTAAGAACAACAGACCATCATCAACCTTCTTATCTAGGAGTACTTTAATAACTGAATTTTTCCTGTCTGCTCTTCTTTTCAGGATCACTAAACTGTTTCTTCATTGCTCAAAAAGGTAAACAGAAAAGTTGAGAATGTGAATGGCCACTCACGACTGATTATGATTTTAATCAGAGCATGAAAGATTAGGACAGCATATCTGATCTCAATAAGACTTCTTATTTCTCAGAGCCTCACTACCAAACAGCTAAATGGTAGCACACGTTTAAAGCGACGTAAACTTTTGCAATATTCCTTCACCTTCGGGCAAAGCAAAAGAAAAAATTGAGAGTATGATTTGTAAATTCGATTGATATCTATGCCTGTTACTCTTAGAAATTAGTCTGAAATCATAAACAAACCTTTGCTATGCACATTTTTTCTCAAAAAGATAAATATGCTGGAAAGGGATCTCCAAAATTCAAAATGAATTTATCAAAATCACAAGATGCATTTAATCCTTACCCTTAAATTCCTTAATAAAATCAATTATCGCTACCATCAAATTCTACAGCTTCTGCATTTTAATGTTCTCTAGTTGTTTCTGAATAAAAATAGAACAGGGATCATTGTGTGATAGAAGAGAATGATTTTAAAAAATGAGTAGAAAATATTTTTGAAAGGCGCACACCGACATGATTTTATTGTCACAGAACGTGAAAGATGACAAAATATGATAGTAGCAGAGGAAATTATTCCGAGAATGGACTGATCTCCTGTTCAAGGACATCCTGAAAAAGGAAATGTTTTTCAATAACCGAGAAGAGATTAAAATTTATTTGGATGGAAAGAGGAAAGGGGAAAGAAAAAAACGGACATGAAGAGGAGGGTTTTACTCTTTTATAGCCATCCTGAAAGGTTATGGAGAAACCTGTAAAACTATCCAACCAAGGACCAGGCCATGGAGGAAAAATGCAGACACAAACACACATACACACACATATACACATACACACTACAAGCAGAGGTCAGGCAGTGTTATCAGAAAGTATGCCACTGAAAGCCAAAGGCATCACATCTCACTCTTCTCATCATGAAACACGAGTTTTAAAAATCAAACAGCCTTTCATTCTGATGCCTAACATCCCACGCACTATCTCACCATTACATAATTAATTAAATCTTAACCGCTGACTTCATTATCATCAAATCGTCACACAATAATCAAACGTTCCCTGAACAATTGTAAACAGTAACGATAATGATGATGATGTGCACAGTGCACTTCATAACATTCTTATTTGCGTCACCAAAATAAAGCACGCGGACAATCATTGGTCAGAAACAGAAATGTGCAAAATGATGCACTGCACTACCTAATACATTTGTGCCTTACTCTCATCTTTGCTTCTGTATACGTAACTTTCATATTGACTATACGTGCACGCAATCATACGGTTGCATACAATCATCATATCAGCACGTCCGATCCCAGCACTCTCTCTCTCGAAATGTTGCATTGTTGCAGCTTTCCATTTTGATTGCTTCTCGGAACGAGTCAGTCACTCTTGCTGTTAACTTTGCATATTTACTTACTAACTGTGTGCACTTGCATTCATGCAAAATGCACATGCAAAACACGCATGCATGAAATTCGTTGAAAAATTTATTTGAAAAGAGCGGCGATGGCATACAAATAGCTGCCGTGCACATCAGAAAGAATATTACCTCTGCCCGTCTGGCACGTCCAGCTAATCAACCAGCAAATTGCAATATTAATGGGAGGAAGACAGAGAGTGTGTGACAGGGAGACAAAGGGAAGAGAATGCAGTTTGTGGGGACCATATAGAAATACCCCAACGAGCGAAAATAATATTGCCGATGTTAAGAAAAAAATAGATTGGGGAGGAGACACGTCTTACTCGTAAATTGATAGCCAAGTCGTGTTTGAGGAGACAGAATTATGAAACAATCTGAGGGTCCACGATATCATGAGATACAAACATACAGGCGGAGAGAGGAGCAGAGACAGAAAAAGACAGAGAAGTGAGACACATGAAGAGAAGCGTTCGAGTTTTGAGGCAGTTTGTCGTATTTTTCGGCAATGGGATCGAACAGTGACGATGGGATTCGCTCGATATCAAATCACGTGATGGATCAGTTCAAAGGGTTAACAGGGAATTGATTGATCGTTGGTAATCTCCAGCTATCATCTCTCTAATCAACGGAAAAACGACACAAATTAGCATACCAAACAACTCAGCCTTTCCACACTACTAAACTCAACTCGCATGTTAGGAATTATTAATCACTCCAACCAGAAGTAAATGCAATCAAAAAAACAACTATTACTAAACACTCCTCGATTTCGTATTATCTTAACAAATCCTATTCCAATGAAATATTTTCAAAAATTTAGTGTCGAAATTTTCCCTATATTTCACACTCAAATTATTGATTGTTGTGGTACAGATCATAGCACTTGGACTCTCTCTGCAATCTTTATGCTTGTTTAATACTTAAATGATAAAGAACTTTGGCCAATAAATAAGAAAAACATTCGTTGTGGAAAAATTGTTCATTACTGGAACAATAAACACTAATTATAATAACCATGAAGAGCAGTATAATGAGAGTGATCACACACACACACACACACACACACACACACACACA